CTCGGAATCACTTTCGGTTCCCAAGCTGCAACCTTTGGAACTGTTGTACTGTATGGCTTGTAAGCCTTTCGGGTTCCCGTAAAGTTTTCTTTGTGTTCCGCTAGGAATTTGAGTTTTGGCGTTGAATCAACTGTCGGTGGGGTATCGGTTATCTTGTGAATCCAACCATGCCTATTCCGAAATTATCTTTTTTTTAGAAAGTGCATCAAAAATTCCTTTGTGGAGAAAGCAAAACGATTGAATTACCAATCTGCTGGTATTTGACTAGCATCCCCATAGTGTTGTGCATAATCCACCCAACGTTCCCGACCTGTAAGGTGTGTAACAAAGAAATTTTATTTGTAGTACTACAATCATTCTCATTCTCCTCCTGGTTCGTTGAGGAAGTCGTGAACTTTCACATTTCGTCAAATCAAAAAAAATTATTATTATTATTTTCTTTTTTAAAAAAAAAAATAAAATATTTCTAGATTGGTGGAAGGACGAAGATACTCATTTCAGTGCAGATTCCCTTCACTCCCTCATTTTTCGAGACGCACCATAAATTTCCTCATTATTTTCGTAATATTTATTTCCAAACTTGTCAACGCCAACGAGTGTACCAGCCTTGATGTCGCCGATGTACAACATTTGCGTATAAGCTTCCTTGGGACCAACTTTGAAAAAATTTCTAACACTACGTATCAACGAAGTCATCCCGAAAACTTGAAAGGGTAGAAGAAAAAAAAATCGTCTCTATTTTTCCTTATTCCTTTAATTTATATACAATTTTGATGATCACGTGAACTACTTTAAAATACAATTCACCGGTTTTAATTGGTCGGTCGTGTTTACAAGCCACTCCAGTCCTCAATTTTGCATCAAGACGAATCTGATGAAAATGTCGCTAAGGGAACGGAGGCGATATGCTGCCGGCATCACAATTTTGTTAGGAGTTGTGATCATATGGGTTAGCTCCTCTTTCTTAATGAATGTAAGGAATCACCCATGGCCTCGAAGATTTGAAACGATGATATTCCATTAACCCTTCCTTTTGCCTTTTGTACGAAGCACATTTTTGAGGAGCAGAAGTATAACAAGCCTTTTGCCATAACATATATGAATACCGCTTCCTTTTCGTTATATCTATTAAACTTACTATTTAAAAAAAAACGCACTATAGATAAACAAAGGTATCAAAAGAATTTTCGTATTTGTGCACGCGTGTCGTGCGAGAAAAGTCAGCAAAGTTTATGGACTTTTCTCACGTGAATACCAACTTTATTATTCTCCCAAGGATATTGGATTTCAATCATGCGTTATACGATACCAATTCTCGATCTTCCATCGAGTCAATTAGCGACCGTTCTGTAAATTCTAATGAAGGCGACGGTATGAATGTAAGTCATCAATGATATCTGTTATCCCTAATATCCATCACCAGTTTTTCATCGCCATCTCTTATTCACAGGATCATAATATGTATTCTACGCCACAAAGCAGTACATATGCATTAGGATTACATAATGACATCAACTCTTTTTCTATGCGCACGCATCGTCCCACAGGGATTCGCCATTACATTGACCCGCATGATCTACTTTCATCCGTTCGCGATGAAGAAAAGCTTAGGATACGTGAGGTAGGAGTGTGAGGGTGCGTTCGAGTTTGCATTCACTTATTCATAATCAACACTTCGCACTTTACGTTATGACCTAGGTCGCCAGATTAAGTTTTTCTTTTTGTGTGTTATGGTTTGCAGGTAAAATCCCTTCTCCCCTCGTGTAAATATGCCGAACACATTTGATTAACTTTGTTTGTCTGTATGATTAAATGATAGCCAACTGGTGCACTAATGCATCCCTGGCGTATACGACCGTTGCGAGTAGTACAATTTTAGCGTCTACATCAGGTCAGGCATGGAAAATGTAATTACGAGTATCAGGAAACGGTATTCAATCGTTCTCATCACCTGGTTTGTCTTGTTGCACATAGGTTTCTTCACATTGGGTATCGGTTCGTTCGCTGGGATAGAAAAGTTTACATTTATCAAATTCCTGACGGTCATCATTAGGTTAATTTTAAATCCCTTTCCTAATAAACACATGTCAAAGAACATAAGCTTAATTCATTTCTTTCGTTCATCATTCATTACCAGCGTCATCGGTGTTTTTCTGATATCGATTGAAGCACCCGACGAGAACCAGCATAATCCCATCAATCATTTGTTTGGTGATTCCCTTGCGCTTATTGGTGCATTTTTCTACGGTTGCTACACGGTTTTGCTGAAGCTTCGAATACAAGATGAATCTCGCATTAACATGCCTTTATTCTTCGGTTTCGTTGGTCTTTATAATATATTTTTATTATGGCCATTCTTTTTGTTACTTCACGTTACGGGTGTTGAGGAATTCCAACTTCCACCCGATGGTAACGTTTGGATTATGATAATGGTTAATGCGTTGGTAGGTACATTTCTTTCAGATTATCTGTGGCTCTTGTCTGTACTCTTGACATCACCATTAGTGGTTACGCTTGGGCTATCATTGACAATACCATTAGCATTATTTGGGGATTATGTCTTCAAAGGAATAATCATGAACCCAGGATATTGGCTTGGTGCTTTGCTGGTAGTGGGCGGTTTTCTTGGTGTCAATCTGGAAACAGTTAAAGAGAGAAAACACGAACACAAGTTTACCTCGTTATTGATTGATGAGCCTGTCACCATGGGAAATCAAGTCCCTTCTGAATAATATAATCAACATGTAGGCTATTTTATTATGTAGATCATTATATGTCGACCTTATCAAAGATTCTTTGATATTTCCTATCTTGTTGATATACAAAAAAAATGTACATTGTGAAACTTGATTAGTTTTCCTGATTTCATATATCTTAGTCATACGTGTGATTTCCTTTCGCAGAGATTTAAAATTATGACGAATAAAACAAATTTATTTGTTACTCTCGAATTAAAATGCAATTGTTATTTTGACTTACACCTTTCACTACTATGTACAACACGATCTATTAATTTATCCAATACCCTACATTAAGACCTTAACGCACATCTCAAAGTCATATCTTCCATCACGCGATCTTCTATATCTGCAATAATTTTTTCCATGCTGGTATCCTCATATAATTTACTGATATTTTGCTTAACCACAAGATTTGGTTTTAAATCGTATTTATCACATATCTTGTGTAAATCTCCGTTCGTTGCTTTAGGAAAGTTTTGAGCCGCAATAACGCCGGTAGTAAATTTTTGTAACGGCTTATTCAAATGATTGAACAATAACTTACTATCGGGTTTGACCGGGGGTGGCACTGACTCATACGGAATGTACCGAATATTGATTTTCTTTTTCTTTTCTGACTTTAAACTAGTTCCGGAGGGTCCTGCGATGGCCGATACCTGTGGTTCGTAACCTGATCGTGAAGACGGATTGAAAGCATTTCCAGCTGAAGAGAGTGTGTAATCATTTCTTGATTCCGTGCTTACGTCATGCGTTTGAGAGAGAACCGAGTCTGGACGCAGTATGATAAATAATAATGGGGTTAACTGAAGAGGGTTATAACAAACAGATACAAGTTTCTTACTCTGAACTATCCTAAGTATGCGGGGCTGACCTATTATTATTTTGCAAATACCTGCTATTAGTCAAAGATTTTTAACTGATAATAATGTTAGGAAGACCTTGATTTGTACGAACCTTTACTATTAAGGTTTTCTTTTGTCGCGCTGGACTGCTTATTTCTTTTAGTGGAAATAGTGTTAGTATTATTAACTGTACTTTTTTTTGAATCGTAGGAAAAAGAAGACACGTTTGAGGTCTGCAAAACTTCAACTTTATTGGTTGAAATTTTTTTGCTTTTCTCAACTTCTCTAGGAGCAACGTCTATTTTTTCTGCTTTAGAAGATGAACCATCTTTCACTACTATTTCCGACTTGTCCTTTGAGGACTTCTGGAAATTGACAGATATATATTTTGACATTGCTTTAGAGGAGTGTTTCTTTTTTGAAAAGCTTGAGAAATGAGAAAAACGAAAAGCCCCTTTATTTATATTTCACGTCTCATGATTATTGCCAGATATCATCATTACGTAATGTTTCAAAAATTGTAAATAATAACAACAAATCTTTTTTTTTTTATAACATCGCGCATCAAATATATAGAAAATACTGTATATTTTCAATATGTTCATTTTTTCAAATTATTATTATTATTTTTTTTCCATAATCAAATATTTTTTATTTTTTATAATTGAAAACATAATAATACATAACTTTTATATATAAATTATAATTTTGAAAAATAAATAAAGTTGCTTTCTTTCTTCTTTCATTTATAAAAGAATTTAAATTGATTATCTATAGTTTATCGTTGTAATTTACCTTGGCAAATTTTATTATTTTCTTTTTCTTTTTTTTATTATTATTGCAAATGGGCATTAGATGCACGATTTTTATTAAACCATTGTTTATAATCTTGATTATTTTCTATTTCTAATTATTTTCTATTCTCTTTGATTTTATTTTATAATATTTTATAAGAATAATTATAAAATTATTACTATTAGTTAATAAATTTAAAGATGTTACTGTTGCAGTTTTGTCTGATTGTTTGTTATTAAATTTAATTGTCTTTCTTTTTTTCTACTTTTTATTGTATTAATATTTTTTTTGAAACTTAATTTGTTTTTTTTTTTTTTTATAATTAGATTTATTATATAACATTTAATATTAAGAAATATTATAAACAAGGTATTGTTTATAATTAATAAAGAAAACTTTTGTTAAATTAAAAAAAAATTTAAATACTTTATTATTTTTCAAAGAAAAAATTTTTTTTCTTATATACAATATATGTTTTTTTATATAAACCAATAAATTAAAAATATATAATTAAAAATATATATAATTTTATTGATTTTTCAGAAATCATATATACTTATTTAATTAATAAATAATAATAATAATAATAATAATAATAATAATAATAGAAAATAAATAAAATATAAAAATAAGTATTCATTTTTTTTTTTTTTTTATCGACTAGCAGGGCCTTACCTAGCGTTGGCTTTTATTTAGTTCACATATGTATCTTACATGTTATTACAGGTAATTACTATCTATGAACTACTCTAGC